TTGGTATATAAAAGTACAGTGTGTCACTGTGTCCACCTATCGAACGGCCATTAATGTTCCAGAATATCAAATGTAAAGCAATTCTCTGGGGGAGAAAGTATGAACCTCCTGAGGGTACAATCTCTTGATGAAGTTCTTTACTGGCAGGTGAAAAGAAGACAGCACTAGTATTTCTGCAACTTCTGTGGGGAAACAAGGAAAAAGTGGGTCATTCAACATTCCCGGTGGAGCCATACAGTATCTTGACATATATTACAAGTATTATTTTTAACTGACTCCACAATTCAACAACCACATTGCAGTAGTTCTTTGCTCCACTAAACAATTTTCCTAGTATCTCCTGAGAGCAGTTACCGTATGTTCTGTATCATGTCTGTAGACCTTGGTGCTGTCACATTCCTTCACTAGATACAAATGGCAGCAGTGCTCCTGTCTGTCGGTCTGTCTGACAAAGGGCTGTTGTTTTCCCAGCCTTTTCTCTTTTCACACGCCAGCCTCTCCTCTTTGGCTTCAGAGCAGCTGCTGAGGCATTAGAATGAAATTATGGGAATATTTGTTCTACTTGCTGTCAATTATGTTCTGAACATTGATTCTGTCCATCTCTTTTTGCTGTATGACCCCCGTATCTCATGTCTTGGACACATGATATGGTACCCAAAGTGGTTTATACATGCATTCCTAACCACTGCAGATGCCAAATTTGAGACTCAACCAGCAATTTTTCATTAGGATTCCGCAAAGCTGGTTTTAAGGTGATAATTGTACATTTGCCGCTCAGAAAGTAGAGGTCACACAGAGCCATTGCCAGATATGTGTGTTTAGATGTATCCTCAATGTCCGCAATAAATGCATGAACTCGTTTGAATTGTTCTTTTAGAAGACTTCATCATCAAAACAGAGAAATTAATCCAAAAATCTATCAACCCTTTTTTTCAAATGCATTGTTAAAAACATGTGCTTTCTGCAACTTTAAGTCATCCATGAAGAAAATTATAAAATTGTTCAGAGATGTGCTGGAAGCCTATTTGTCACGGGGTTTCATGAAGTCAGTCTCTGCAGGAGTCGCTTCCACCATGTAAAAGTAGACAACGATGGAATATTTGGCAAGGGAGCAAAGTACAGACTGAGAAACTGCTCTGCTAGAGAAATCCGGTTAAAAAAAACAATCCTTTTATAAACAGAGATTCAATAAGCTATCCTTGTGTAACCATGACAAAGAAGCACACACAACAGTCAGACTTTCCTAGGACAGGATGTGTTGTCATACAAGCTTTTTGGTGTACACTTTATTTCATCTGAAATGTCGGATGACCTCCTTTTCCAGAGGATACTAAGCCTGTGCCAAATTGATGTGAGCAACATGTAATACCTTTCAGGTCGTTTAAGGACTCTTACTGTACCAAAGGTCCTCTAGTCAGGTGGTCCTGGTTTTAATTACCCATGATTCCATGTGTCTGTCCCACTGACGAAGACACTGGAAAATCCCCTCTACAGTACATCTCTCTTTAGTGGCACCTTCACAGTATGGACAGATGGTTTATGCATATTATCCTTTTGCAGCATCAAAATAATACCTAAAACAAAAACTGAATAATTCCCTGTAGACTTAGGAGGCACTTGCACTCGCTCTTTTTGATTTCAAACTTAGCCTACAAGTGTTTACTAAGAGGAGATTTACACTTTCCTAAATTAAAACAGGTTGAACCCATGGATTTATTATAGGAACTGGATACCAGACTCAAAGATTGTGCCTACTCACTTGAATGAAAATTGCTCACTTGGTGGCATAAGCCAACAAAGACGCTATGGTTGTGGCCATCCACAGCCACAACACATTAACTCTACCTAATTCGTATGCAAAACATCGCAATGAAAATGCATCTACACATGGTAGATTCATATTTCTGTTTCCTGTGACAATCACTGGATATTAAAAATGGCGGAAAAGAGATAGAAATATTTTTTTTAAATAACAACTTTTTTGATTATTGGTTTCACACAGGAATCAAACCTGTGAAAGTCCTGTGTTTGTTCCACTCATCCATTCTCCTCCCCTTGTGGAATTCTTTGCTCTATAGGTACTAAGTTTGTCCTTTGCTATTTTCACCCCAGCCTGGTACTTATTTTAACCCTAAACATAAACTTTTTCTAACCCTGTACTTCTGTTGCCTAAATCTAACTAAACTTTGACTGTTTCACAGTGTTAAATGAGTGTTAATGAAACATTTAATATGCAGGCAGAGTTAGTGCAGCAGTGAATAAGCCCACTGTGTTCTCAGGGTACCGTGGCGTCAGCAACTGACATACCTTCTAGCTTCAGCGTAGTGCAGGCTACTGCGCATGTGCATGTAGTGTAGTGTTTCCCCTCCTGGTCTTACCCACTTGGGCCATAGACTTAACATTGGGATGACATGATTCAGATAACATTCAGCTCACGTCTGACACTACTACCGCTGTTTTGGTTTAATCTCACCTCTCTCACAGTGTCATTGTTGGAAGCTGTTTTCAGAGAAAAACAAGGCTACAAGAGAGTGAGACCTACATTAATCAGGTGGATAGAAACTCAGCTCCAATGAATTTTAATGTTGCTTCATAACAGCTGGAAATTCGCCATACCAATTTAAAAAGTGATGACATGTCAGTGATAACAGCTTGTTTCTGCTGCCCCCAAGTCACCAAGAAATTATTGCACAATTTACAATTGTTTGGCCTCCTAGTTATTTTTGAAATTATGTTTCAGCTACAATTGCTTATACTTTCAGGTAGTTACTTACATTCTTTGATACAATCTATTAACAATGCAGATTAGAGTCTTCTGATGTTAGAAAACTCCTTCTTTTTCCTCAGACATCCACTGTCTATGAGGCACACAATCTTGCTGAGGTCTGGAAAGTATTTTGCCTCCTGAAAATCAGTGCAGCCTGATTCCTCAGCAAATTTGTGAAATAGATTTGCTGTGTTGCAGACAGCCACAGACTGTGCAGAACCAGTCCACAAATTGCATGTGGGGTGTGAAAAAAGTGTGTGAACTAAAGTGTGAGGTATACAGATTGATTAGAACAAATAAATAAGATTGAAGTGTTGACAGATACTGTGAATTTGATTCTTAATGGGACATTTGAAAAGGGATTTAACAACATTGTATCCTGTGTTCAACAACCTAAACTTTCTACTCGGTTTCCACGTTAAATTACTTTGAAAGGTTTTCAAACTCATTATATTTCTATTTGAACTGGCCACATTCTCAATAAACTGAGGACTGATTGGAGGATTCAACTAACTCACTGCTTTGCATTCTAAGTTTCCAAAAAAGGACCAGTGCTAAGTTGGCTCAAGAATGCTAATAGGTCATAATCATCCCTGTATTTTCAGACAAATCTGATGAAAAGGCCACCACACTGGCTGACCTCTGATTTTCTGATTTGGTTTGTACTTTCCCCAGACTTGGCAGCCTGTGACAACAAGAGAACTGTAATGAGAATTATCTGACATAAGTATAAATAGTTTCCATGGGTAATTGACCCTTTTCCTGGACACACACACTCCAAGATCAAAAGGGTATATCCTCTAGACTCCAAGATCCACTGATTAAACACATTTCAGAAGTATTTCCCTTCCATTTCCAGGGCAGATCTGGCAAAGGCATATTACATGTGTTTCATTAAGTTGTATCATGAAATATGGTCCCTTGTGTGTGTGCGTGTGTGTGTGTGTGTGTGTGTGTGTGTGTGTGTGTGTGTGTGTGTGTGTGTGTGTGTGTGTGTACTGTATGTGAGAATACAGTATCCCTATGTATGTGCATATTTTGCTCTATCTGTGTATGTATATGGTGCACATTTTTAGCTGGTGAGGGGAAGTGACGAGGCGCGTTGCCAGCCAAGTCTCAGTGTTTCTCAAGAAAGACAAATGGCATTGTTCCAGCAGCAGATACCAGCTTCACTGCCAAATCCCTGCCGGCTGGACTGAAATTTCAGCCATGTAAAGCGAGCAGGAGTGGAGCAGGGACTGACAAAAGATGACATTGGCTTGTAAGTTTTAGGCGATGACGCTCAGGGGGATTCCATTATGTGGCTGTCACACAGCATTAGGCGAGACAGCAAACACTTTCATGTGTGGATTACCATTTACCCACTGGAGATAATAGATATTTGCCTTTGCTAATCCATTCCTCTATTGATTTTTTTTCCCTTTAATAACTTCTTGCAAGCAAGCAAATTTTAATAAGTGCAAGAATGCTGACATATAAGAAGCTGGAACAAAGGGCTGTGTTTGACACAGATAAGCTGCTTAATGTAGTTTTATTTACACATATGAGATGTAAGATCGTTTCTGACAACCTTATTCATTTTAAACAGCATACATGTAAACATACAGTGTGATTACAGTAAAACCCAATTGTTCTTGAAAGATTACAGTGTATGCAATTATCAGTGGAGCTGCTAAAAATGTTGTTGTGTCTCAGACAGAAGAGGTAAAAACAGGCTTTTTCATATTTGTCTATGACGTCTTTTTGTGCTAGTTCTCAAACCATACCAAATAATTTTTACAAAAACAAACTTAAAAAGTCCAGTGTGTAACATTTAGGAGCATCTGTTTGCACAAATGCAATATAATATTCATGGCTATGTTTTCATTACCTGAAAATAAGAATCACTTTTTTTTGTTTTCTCTCTCACACACACACACACCCACACGCACACCATCCTGGTGTTGTAAATACCTGCTAGAGCACCAAACATGTGTTAATCTGTTGCTGAAATTAGTCAAACACACAATCTACTCATTTTAATGTTTGATAAAAACCACATTGCGCCTTTATTTTCTTTTAATAAAACCATTTAGCCTGTGCTCAAAACTATTTGGTTGGAACCAATGAGCTTGGGGCTGAGTGCCACAGACAGGGTTAGAGAAGTTAGAAAGAGCTGACAAAATAAAAAAAGTTAAAAAGAGCTGACAGCTTACCCTTTAATACTATATCAACAATTGAATGCAAAAATATATTTTTGTCTGAAAATTGCTTTATTCATAACACCATGAACAATATAGAAATGCACCCGGAACAGATTCTTGTATCATACTGTGTACAACCCTTAACACCACCACCATATCTACAAAATTTAACAATAACAAATTCAACACAGATAAGCCATGATATCACATTTAAAGTTGCTAAGAAAAGAAAATATTGCTACCTCAGGTTCTCCCTCCCAAGCCCACCATGATTAAGCCCATTTATTCTATTTATTGAAATGGTTTTGTTCATTTTGGTTCAGTTGCATGTTTTTCACCCCCCCCCCCCCCAAAAAAAAACCAACATGTCTCTTTGTCTTAATTACTGTTCTTCCTCCAGTGCTTATTTCCACATTCAGATGTTTGGTGCCTGGGGGCTCTTCGTCCTCGGCTTCGGCACCGGTGAAGGTTGTTGTCCTTCCGCAGCTGTGGATAACTGAGGAGGCCTGCTTTCAGTCTCGGGCTCAGAAACACTCTCATAACAGGTTCTGGGTGGAGGCTCTGGGCTCACAGGTGGAGAGTCCTTAGACGGGTGCATAGTCTCATAGTCTGGGCTGATGGAGTCCGGCTCTCGTTTGCTGAGAGAAAGCATCCTGAGCCCCCCTTTATCTTTGAGTCTCATTTGGTTTTTCTTGCAACTGTAGCAGCAACACAATATGATGATAATAGTGATCAAAAGCAGAATCAGACCTGCTCCTCCTGCTACCACTGCTAAAACAGTTTTGGATGTAAAACAGAGCAAAGGTGGTGGCGACGGTGATGGACTTTTACAGGTTGGACGGACAGTGTCACTCTTCTGAGTGCTGACTTTGTTTGCCGCACTACATGAAAAGTCCCTCTCTCCTTTCAGCTGTGCCAATGATATGCTCAATGTTTGTCTTGTTTCGCTTGTTAAGGTCTTTTCATCGAGTGTCCATGAGAACACCAAACCCTGAGGTTTATCTACATAGCAATTTAGATTAACAGCACTAGACTTGAAGTCACAGCGATAAGTGAGTTGAGGTTTGGATACCTTGTCCATCATACAGAGACGACCAGTCCATGATAAAGCCAGTGTACCATTGGGATTCAGCACATTTGCTTCGTAAACCCCAGCACTTGAGAACAGTAGGCTCTTCAGCGAAAGAGATCCGGTTGCAGAGACGTCCGCTGGTTTTCCAATAGACACTTTGCCTTTCTCTCTGTACAAAATGATTGTGTCATTATGAAACCATTTCAGCACATGTGAGTTTTCCAGTCTGTTGTAGTTCAATGGCAGAGTCAGACTCTGCCCAACAGCTGCATAGAGTTCACAGGTGTCCTTGTTTGCTGCTGAGAGGTTGATGAATTCCAACAGAATGAAAAGACCAAGTGCAGTAAAGGATGCCATAATATGCAAAGAGTAGACCAAGGTATCCTTATAATAATCACTTGCGCTTTTAATTATTTCCTTTCTAGGTCCTTTGTCAAAGTTTGTTCCAAGTCAGTCTGCTGATTTTTAAGCCCTGATTGAGAAGCAGTCTTTTCAAGATGAACTGTTACATTTGCAACCCAGAATATGACTGGCAAATAAATGACAAACTTCAAGCCCTTAAAAAAAAGAAGTGAATCTTAAGTAGGAGGGAAACTATTAGTCAAGAGTCTGCTCTCAGTTCTCTGAAGGTGTGTGGCAACTAACTTTTTCCATTCACATGAAGAGGTCACAGGAATATATTTAGAAATATGTGACTTATGTCGTCATTTGGTGCAATCATTCCAAGCATGACCTGATGGCAAAACAACTGTGGTGAATAAACCACAGAAACCACATGAAATTTGTTTAATTTAAAAAAACTAAATGCAATGTATCATATGATTAATTGTTAATACTTGATTAATTATACTATATTGTTAAATAGTAGTTATACTAGTTTATAGATACTCAGTATCTAAACATTTTATTTAAGTACAAAGTTTGACAAGTTACTCCCTGTCATCCTCATGTATAAAACTAATCCAAATTGTATGAATATCCAATAAAAAAGAAAAATAAGAATAAAGGGCAGTAAAAAGGGAGGTATGAAATATAGGTAGGGTTTGGCTAACATCTGGTTAGAGGTTAACAACTCTTCCTGCTTCGACCACCAACTGAGCCAGATAGAGTCCATCTGCTGACTATACTTTGTAAGCCAGTGGGCTAGTAACTCAAACCCACTGATACTTAAACTTGTAGTATGTACTCACACTAGTATAAGACATCACATTAAAGGGTAACTACAACCTCATTGTCTCCTAAAAACGACTGTAGGAGGCTGCCAGCCATGAGAAGCTAACATCAAACTCTCAGTATCTCCGCTGGAGAGTCTGATGGAGCTTTGAGAGTCACTAGAAGCACGTTTACGATCCCTTTGAGAGAGTAACTGTGTGACTACCTACAGTACTAGCCCACCCTATACACTGGACATGCAATTGTGTGGGGCCCCGCGAATCATGTCAATCCAATCAAAATCTCTCTGACCCAAGGGGCCCCCATTATGTATTATGCAGCCAGCAATACACTGTATAATATTTCATCAAATTAAGATAGTATATTACGTTACTGAAATATTATGAAAGGAGTTTCAAGATTTATCATCAGCTAGATATTTTTCCTGGCTGGCTTTTGCATTATTTATCCTAGATATTGGTTTTTGCCTGTCAAATAATACAAATGACTTTTATTGTCTACTCTGAATTGGTTTAGTCACGGCTGCCTTTTCTGATAAAGCAACTGAACAATGAGAGGCCACCCTCTCATGTAAATATCTGTTGCAAATGCTTTTGTTCTGGTGCAGTTAGTTGAGCAGCTCAGCTATAGAGTATGTGTATTTTACAATTAGAGACGGTGTTGTCAATTAAAAATAAAATAAAATAATTTCAATAAATCTTCTCTTGAGAGAAGAGCTATTGTACAGAAAGCCCTGCAGCAGTCTTTTACTTTTTTACAAACAATAGCACAGGCTCAAGGCAATGCCAGTATTCTGACCACATTGAACTCAGTGGATTTAATCCAACAAGTCTCCAAGTGGCACATTTTCTTTTGTTCTTTAATTTGGCGGATCTGAAACTGAGTTGGAATTTTTTCCATGTGATCGAATTAAAAATTTGCTTTTGAAATGTAGCCCAATCATCATAATCAAGTGCGCTTTCTGTAAATCCCCTACAGCGTTTCCAGTAAACCAGAGTCATTGTTCGGCTAACATCTAGAAATACCCTTGTCATTCTATAATTCATGGCATCTACATCCCCCCAAAGTACTACTATAACTCGAGCTGCAGAATGAGTTCATTTTGCACCACACAACTATAATTTCATGCAATTAGCAGTGATTCACAATCTTTCTGTAACCCTGAGCACCTTCAAAGATACCCGTAGCTAGAAGAACACCTGTTTCTTTTAGTTTCACCATCATTACACTTTTTCCTACCCTGGGGGAATAGATTGATGTAAAATGTTAGCTATTCGGAGGGGGCGTACTGAGAGCTGAATGCAATGAATTCCTTGTTACAAATGTTGTAAAGATTATATCTCCAAGAATTTTCCCTGCCAGCTCACAAATAGGAACATGTGTGTTAATGTCTGTGCGTGTGCGTGTGTGTGAAAGCAGCAGGTTCTCAGACAAAGGGAAAAAGCAAAGCAAACATTATGGTATGTTTTAAATCAAAGCTGATAAACCAAAGAAGGTGTCTATTCCCAACCCTCCAACCTTTTCAAATCAATGTATGCAATACTGTACCTGGCAGGAATTCCTTGAAGGTTGTCAGCTGGAAGAGTTTACTGATCCAGCTTTTTACTTTCCCAGTTTCAATCCCCATAGCAGTTGTGTCAGCACCACCAGCAAAAGATCAGTGCATTGGGAAAATGAAAACAATTCTCTTTTTTTTTTATAGGCAAGCCATGATCCATCTGTTTCCCATTAATTGTATACCCGTGAATCTCAATTCTCACAAAACAAACACCACCACTAATAACAAATTAAGAGGAAAATTGCTCACCAGGACATTTCAGATTCTTAGAGACTGTAGGAGATAACCCAATATAACCCAGAATATTTTGGCGTGAGGGCCAATTTTTAAGTATGCGTACAGTTTTGTTTTGCCTTTATGAAAAATGTATTTGATAAAAAAAGAATAAGAGGTAAACACCTTAACTTTCACCTTAACTTAAAGCTAGGGTAGGTAATGTTACATTTTTAAGTCTACAACCAAAAAAATCCCAACCCCTCCTTGCAGGCCTCTCTCCAAAGCCACTCCTCCAAAAACACATTTTCATGCCGGTGCACAGGCAGAAGGTGTGCAGGTAGGCAGGTAGGTAGAATGGCTTATTACACACCTGCAACAGTCCCAGATACTGGATTTCTTTATTTTTTTTCCCCCCGAGAATTTGATTAGGGATATAAAGATAATTTCAGCAAACATAACAAAAGATGACTCTGAAATACATTATCTAACTTGTAGGCCTAATACCCATAAACCATGTAGACATTGTATACATTTTCATATAAACCCCTACTCCAGTCCCTGCAATGTAGAAACCACTTCAACCACATAGCAAGTGTTTCATTTCAAATTCAATGTGCTGGACTAGAGCCAAAACAATGAAAAACATGTCACTGTCCTAATACTTACAGCCCGCACAGTACAAAGATTTGGGGACACTCATAGCACCACTCTATAAAAGTTAAATCAAACACTGTCTGAATCTTAACCTACAAATGTTTTTCCCATTGAAACATCCTCATAGCACCTCTATAAAAATCTATTTAAATAACCAGCAACAAGGGACATAATGACCGGGATTAGTTTGCTTGACAGGAAATAAATAATAAGGCTTCTTAAGTGACAGGATTTGCTCAGTAGCACCTTTTTATTACTAGCTGTTGGACATTAAAGAGCTTGTGATTGTGCCATATCTATGATCATCTCCATCTGTTACAATAGTAGAAGAAAACAACTGTCGTGATTCTGCTCACTTCTGCTCCTGTCATTCACTGTGTTTCCTGTCTTCGTCTCATCTGCGGAAGTATTTCCTCATACCAGATAAGTGCCAGAGATGGAGAAGAGGAACCGAGCTGTAATGAAGATCAACTTGTGTCTGATGACATAGTTACATAATGTGACATAGTGCCCGATGTCAAGGCAAGATTTTCTGTGTTCACTTTCAAAGGGTTCAACAAAAAGAGCTCTCAAATCACTAGAGGCAAATATGTAATAAATGCTGGTGCGCTTTAAGGGAAGCAAAATCCCTCAAGCTGACCTAGTTATTATTAGTGGTTTTCCAGAGTATTCTGAATGTGTTTATTTAGCTTATGATGACTGCTATTGTAACAACAAAGCGTCCAGTCTCTATGGTTTTATGCAAACAGTACACTGTGTGTCTGATGTCAAATCAAATCCAAACCGTTTTATCATCCCTCTTGATCCCCTTCTGTAATATGCCCTTTTAATTGGCTACAAAGTGAGGTCTGAATAGACTGGGCATGGGTTAATTGGCCCCAGTTCCTGGTCCCTCAAGCTTTCAGGCAGGGAACCCGTCTGCCTAGCTGATATTTAATTCAGGGGCCCAGATGGAGGTGTAACAGCCTGACTGTGAGATCCTTGATTCACACTTTCAACAGACATGGCTGTGGCTCTGGATGGCCCCGGGGGGATGAGGGGGTCTGGGTGGCCCCTCCTGCTCTCCAAAGTCAATGTAATCAGGGACAGTGATGTCACTTTGAGCCAAGTACTGGAGGGACAGTACTGAATGGGCCATAGGACCTTCTTGACAGTGCCGAAATTTGAGGCAATCGAGAGCTGGAGAGTCCAAAGTGGAAGCTAGCATTTTCATGTTTTATTATATATTAATATATTTTTGGATTACCCTGCAGTATAAACCTTGTCACAGAAGAGGCAGGTTTACCATCAGTTGTGAGACAGGAGTTTTTGGTACAAATGCATCTCTTGCCTGGGATAGAATGCTATCATGTCACTGGCTGGCTAATAAATTAGCAGTTAGCTCACCAGCCACAGTATCTTACATAGCTACTACATCACGAGACTAAGCATCTATTTTATGAGGACAATTAAATTTATTTCACTCTGCCTCTTTCTCCTCTATACAAGAGTCACACAAAACAAACAAACAAACTTTTTCACTAACTTATAAAACATGGCCAAATAGAACTGGACTAGAATGCCTTTAAATCCTACACACTGGTCCTTTAATTGAGAAGATAAGATTGAGAAGAAGTCAGAGGTTAACTGACATAAAAGCATTAACATAATGGAAGAGAGTTAACCTTATTCCCCATTCAACACTAAAAGTAATCTCATCAACCTACAGTGCGTGCACACAATATTCATATTAGCTCTTTAATTTACATAATCTTGCATAATCCCTCACACAGCTCCATCCCATTAACCTTGTAATTTTGTTTGAATTATATGAGAACTCCAGTGTAAATGGACAAACAGTTTATTCCCTTCAAATCTTGGTAGCTAAAACTGAAGATTTAGACTTCCAGACAACCTCTGAAATTGAATCATTGCTTACCCCGTGTCATTCAGGCCTGGAGCACCGTCAGC